TATAGTGCGGTATCTGTGCTGCCATGTAACAGCAGTTAAAACTGAGTTAACCGCAATTAAGTGTGCCCATGTAACAGGGGTATCACCGCCCATTTGTTGTGCGTGTTTTAAATAGCTTCTCAAACCCCTTTTACCCGCCATCAGGAGTATCACAGGGCTCGCATTTGGGACCTATTTTATTTCTTGTTTTTATCAACGGCATTGCCACATGTGCAATAAACTCCAATGTCTTCCTATTTGATGATGACTTTTTTTTTTCTCTCAGAATTCGCTCGTTTGATGATTGTAGGCGTCTGCCGGGCGATGCCTCACGTAAACTAGATTGGTGTTCGGCAACTTTTTTTATTAATTAATCTAGACATAGCTAATGTTTTGTCGTTTTGTAAAAAGATAAAAAGTAATTCTTCATTGGTATGCACTTGACAGGAAGACTATTTCTTGCGTGTCAATGATTCATCATCTTGGAGCGTTTTTGGATAGTTCTTTTCCTTTAGCTACAAGGGCACTAACATTTTCTGTTCTGCAGTTGAAATGTTGGGTTTAATCCTTCGCATAACTCGAAACTTTGTCAATGTAGCATGCATACTTTGTTCATTCTCAACCCTCATCTGATGTAGGCTCGAGATTGGTTACATAGAATGGAGTTTGCCCAGTGCATCTGATACGGCTCGAATATAATCTATTCAGTGACGTTTTGTTCGTGTAGTCTATGACACATTTTGGCCGAATATACTTTTATTGTTACAAACGCCCAGTGGACAAGCTAGATCTTAAAGTACTACTCGACAGAAGGCCGTCACGTGATGTCGCTTTTTTGTACAAAATAATTCACGGTGCTATCAACTCTGATCTTTTGTGCACAGTGAACTTCAATGTACTTGCTCGTTTAAATAGGCGTGCTCTTACCTTTTATCCTCATAATCAACACACGTTATCACCTATAACCAGAAATAAGTCATATTTAAATAATTTTGGCAATACAGATTACGATATTTTTTTGCAAATAGGATAATTTGATGAGGCAGCTGAACGATATGCTTACACTGTTTTAATCGTCTGTTTTTATACATATACACAAACATTTATGAATATGTTTTTTTTTTGCAGATTTTAGAGACAGCTGTTTTAACAGATCATTGTTGTTCATGGGCCCATAAATAAAGACAGGATGATGATGATGTCTTTGAACCTGATAAATACATGATTGCCTTCTTGTTGGGGTTCCTCAGGCTCTAATCTTGTCCTCACCTGCTTCCCCCCCCCCCTTTTGTTTTAATTGTTTTTTCTCTCTCTTTTCATTTTTAAGCGAAAAGTGACGTGCTCATTAATAAACACCTTGGTAGTAGTATCTCGAAAGAGAACATTAAGCGTCTGTTCCTGGCGTTCAAATTACCTGAAGTGTATCGTGAATGCCTGACAAAAAATGCGTTACACCTCAGTATAAAAATCACAAGTACAAAGGAATGCTGCTGTACTTGTGCAAAAAGAGCGCATTGCTTGGGCTCCCTCTCTGGTCAGAAAGTAAATAGGCGTGCCCGCCGTTTCTAGGCTCTAGCGGAAGAAAGAACTGCATCGTCGATCACTTTGTTTGTCGTGATGTCAGCGCCCTTCCGCGTGTGGCTCCACGATGTATTTTTACGGTAACGAGAACACTTCGTGTCTTTTTGTTAAAAGATTTTTGTCGACTTAGGCGTATCTTGGGAAGAAGCAAGCTTGGATAGCTTCTGTGAGAGGAAAGAAATCCAGACGTCTCAGCACGGCAGCCGAACGACCAGTTCCAAATCTGCAGCGCTAATCTTTTTCTTCTTTTTTCTTGACGCAGTGTTTTAGGGGAAAAAGGGCAAAAACTTTCAGTATCTTAAAAATTCGACTAAGAAGGTTTGAGCATCGCGCGTTCGGGGTGAGAAAAAAACAGGCACTTTCGAGAACACGAAAGCAGGACTAAAAAAAAAAAACACTCATGTCCGGAGTAATAAACGCGAATCTTCGCGATTTGCCACAGAGTGCACTGTGTGGCAAAGCGAGGATAGCCACAGACATCATCATCATCATCATCATCCTCGTCGTCGTCGTCATCGCCGTTGTCGTCGTCAACATCATCATCATCATCATCGTCATCGTCATAGCACATCACCTATCAACTGTTCCTATACAAATAAAAAAAGGGAGCGCATGCCGCATGTACTCCGACTCTTCCCGTGTCAGCGGTGTTGGCGATTTCGTAGCTTCATAGAGCCTTAAGCGCCGAGGCAGTCGGTCTACACCTCGCGGTGTTTTGCATCAAAGCAGCGCTGGAAACGTCGGAGATGTGCGTCGGTGCATACGTTGGCTGGACTGCGCTAATAGTCGAATTATAACGCCCCACAGTGGCAAGAGTCGTCTCCGTAATGAATATATATTCTTTCCCGCATGCATGAAAGTGAAAGCGAAGAAGAGGAATACCACAGCGCGTATTAGAACGACGGCTTCTTTTCGGTTCTGGTGCTAAAAGAGGGTTGTGGTGACTACTGATGCGTGCGCTATTCGAAAAGGTTCAACTTCCACCTTGATACGCGGCACAAATTACACTCTGCTCCACGTAGACGCCAAGGTTGACTGAGCACCCTCAGTAGAAGTTTCGGTCTTTTTGCTTCTTCAAATATTTTGTCGCGATCATCGTAATATTCATTAATTTACTCATTAATTCATTTCTTTTTTTATTGTTTTGTGCCCACGAAGAGTCGCTGCATCGGTGATGATGCACGAACAGTGCGATTACATTAAATTGCCGCCAGGAGTGCGTGGGCCTGGGTAATATATTTTTATAGATGGGAATAGGAAACATGACGCATAGCGAATTGCTGCGTTATCTTTGACTGTATATTGTTACACGCCATTTAAAATGTATAGCGGTTCAGGTAGGAATTTTGTTGGTAGAGGCTTCTACCACTGCGAATCTAATCTTCAGAAATATGAATACGAATGCAGCGTGCAAGTTCATCTTAACCATTCTGATGTTAGCCTGAGACTGAGGCAGGAAAAGAGGAAGTTTCAAAGTAGAAGAAAAAGGAACAGTCGAGGATACGTCTCTAGAATAGAGACGTATCCTCGACTGTTCCTTTTTCTTCTACTTTGAAATTTTTAGAGACGTATCCTCGACTGTTCCTTTTTCTTCTACTTTGAAACTTCCTCTTTTCCTGCCTCAGTCTCAGGCTAACATCAGAATGGTTAATTTCCACCAGCTCGCCTGCGCACTCACTACAATATCATTGATTATACCTGAAGCAGGCTTGGTCCCCTTCTCATGTAAGTTCATCTTCTCTTTGAGTACCTTGTGCGTTTGGTTTACCTTCCAGATGAGCCCACGTGCTTTATTTTTTCCCCGACGTCAACCAATGGTGACGGGCGCTAGGCTGCCTCGTCATCCAGCGGTCTCTGAACGTTCTCTATGTTGCAATTTGGGTGGCGTGATCCTCTTTTACATTCTGATTCTCCAAATATGCCTTACGTTCTTGGCATACTTGCTTTCCGCATATGATGGCTGGAAACTACGTTTACATAAATACTGCTCGAATATACCATCCCCTGATTTACGCGGCGAATCAGGTTGCTTCTTAATAGAGCCCTGAGGCCCAGAACAGATGAAGGGGAAATAAAACACAATATATCAATTTCTGTTTCTTTGTACTCAACTTCAAACACTTCCGGTAACATCAAATGCGATGGCAGCATTCCGCGGTTTGCCGATTCCGGATTCTTCGAAAGATTAACCTTTCTACATAAAGGTAAACAGCTGATTGACCTACTAAATTACGACCATCCGTTTTTGGTCGTAGAGATTACTAGCGAGGGATTATGATCAAGTTCAGCTTAAATTAACAAGTGTAGTTAGAATGCCTGCACCGCAGCCACTGCAAAACCCAGGGATCCTGGGTTCAATCCCCACCCCTGCCCGTTCCGATCTGGATGAACATCATACCGGCGTGCGGTCGTGTATCACTACTGCGTGGTGCACGTTAAAGTTCCAGACAAGCGGTTGTACTGCACTGTCTAAATTGCTCACCTACAGCGAGTGACTCGTCACAACTTTGAAATGGCTGACACGCTGTATAAATATCCACACAACCCCAATTATTTAGAACTCCAAAGAAAACAAGCTGGACATAGCGCCCCGTGTAGTTCGATCTCCTCATAAGCCTCACAATGTTTTCAGATTCAGTAGCAACGTGGCCAACAGTCAGCATTGATTCAAGCTCTTGGCTGGTGCCTGATCTGTATATCGGTTCCATCAATCCCCATGCCGAGAAGCACATCCGAGAAACTCTATTCGCAGCTCTCTCTCTCTTTCTCTCAGACTAACCTTTTCCTTTACTTTTGGGCTGTGAAACCCAAGTGCTTTCAGTTTCAAGGCGTCAGCGTACCACTCTCAAAAATCCCTTAGAGGCTGCGCCCGTAGCACACAGGAAATTGTGCGAACATTTTGTATGGTCCTCCTTGTTCCCGAATATTGCGAATGACTGCTGCGTCGGAATTCGCCTGGAGCTCGTGTTCTCACTGATTTGACACGAATCTAAGTCGTAAGCTGACGCATCACTCGTGTCCAATCACTGCCCCACGTTTGACTCTTTTAGGTGACGCAGAAATTTCACCTCTACGTTCTCCCTATTTAAGAAGTGTTGAACTTAAGAAAGCGAGAGAAAGGGAGAGGGAAGCCCTCCGTTGTTTGTAAGGGTCGATTCTATGCAGTCATTTTGCAGAATGCCTTTTGGAGAAAAAAAAAAAAAAGAAAGCGATAGAAATAGCCGTTGTCTCCGTTGTCTTCTACAATCGGTTCTATACGGCTATTCCCTAGAATATTCTTGGCATAGAAAAGAAAGTGAAACAAAGCGAAAGGGAAGTCGTTGCCTCGGTCGTTTGCTAGATTCGGTTCTAAGCAGCCATTTCCCAGAATTCTTTTTGGAGCCGGGCAAGGAGGAGCACGTCCTGCAAAAGTAAGGCAATCTGTATCTCCGCGCACTCACCCGGAAACATCCTCATGTATCCCACTTCGCTGCCGAAGTATTGCCACAGCAGATCCGGGTCCTTCCCGGCATTCTGTCGGAAGGCCTCGTCCAAGGCCTGAGACCACTTGAGCCCGTTCAGAACCTCGGCGTCTGCAGGGACAACATTGGGATCAGGGTCCAAACAAGATACACGACACAACACACAATAAAACACACGCATGTCATCGCACGAATTGTAAAATATAGTTTAATTTGTGCCCGGAGATTCATCTTGTGTTGTTCGTTTTCTTTTTTATTTAATAGCAGAAACTTTATAAGACAAAAAAAGTAAAGTTTCAGTATGCAGTTCACTACGAGAATTTTTGTGTGCTAACGTTTCAAAGCTGCTGATGAGGTTATGCATCCGAGACAAGTTTTAGAGCGTTTAAAACCAATAAAACAAGATAAAGAGTTGAAAAACTGCTGGTGAGATGGTGTAAAAATGAAATGTGCATGAAAACTCCCCCCCCCCCCCTTAGATATTCAAAATGTGAAAAAAAAGGAGACACCAGCCCACCGATCATTTGCGAAATGACTACAGGTATAGTCACGGTGAAAGTACGTGCTGGATCGCGCTCTCTGCTGGCGGAGAACATTATGAAGGGATCATTTGACCGCTTCGCCAGAGTGGTGGTCCGTACAAAATGTGAATAAAATAAAAACAAAACAAACGTTGTGTGTATTCTTTTCTTGCTTTTTAAAAGCACTTACCAGTAATAATAAAAAAAAAGCTTATTGAGAACTTTCGAAGAAAAATACGATACCTTTCTAAACTCTCCCGCAATTGCCAACTATGTTTATTAAAAAGAAGCGCGTTCACTGACTTCAGTCGAAGCTTCTGCTCACAGGACGCCTCGGCGAGAACGCACCTTCTTCGTAGATCTCCAGCGGGACGTGGGCCCCCGAGTAGGACTCGTTCACGTAGCGGTGGAACTTGTCGCTGTAGCGAAGCGAGCCGTCGCTTTCCGTGAGGTCCTTGAGCATGACGGTGCCCAGTTCCTCCCGCTGCGTGGAGAACACGCGCACAGCGTTGGTCAGGACCACCCGTGGGTGCATGCTTCTGAATACTCGCGTCTGAACAATCCACGAAGCCCACCGAAGTCCTGCTAGTGTTTTTAAAGCAGCGCTCACGAATCTAATATATCAACCATAAGACAACCTTCATGACACTGCCTGATGCGTCTTTCCTCCTTGTATGATGTGGTCCTGTTGGATTTGCCACACAAAAACTGTCTGCAACATGTTCAAGACACATACACGCACACACAAACACACGCACACGCACACGCACACACACACACATATGTGTGTGTGTGTGTGTGTGCGTGTGTCCTCGGGTAATCTACGGCGAACATGTTGTCCCGTATGATGTCTTAGCAGCGCGACCGAGGCCTGATGGGGCATCTAAGTGAAGTTTCTGATCGCTTTTGGCGTGGCCCAAAGTGTTTGTTTTTAATCTCAAGAAGTGACAGAGGAGCTTATTTTTAGTCTAACACAATTTTGAATTTTCGTCACTAATCAATTATTTATCGGCACATTTTTTTTTTTATATCGAAACACAAAGTACGGAAGATAGACATATTGCAAGGCTGTGCAAAGTTAAATGCACTGAGTGGTCTGTTCCGAATCCTGAAAACGTCGATCACTCTTGCTTCGAAATTTTTTTAAACTTTTGTTCACAGTTTTTGGTTAGGAAAGGATGCTGACACGTGCTGTTAAAACTACCTAAATCAGCTAAAAAAAGAAAGAAATCGTAACGCGAAAACAGTGGTTACCATTCTGAGAAAGATTTTGAAAAGCGCTCAGCTCTCGTCTACCTTTTTCAAAAACAAGCCGACCACGCGAAGGTTTAAAGCAACAGTGTGACGAAAGGCGGCTCCAAAAACGAGTTTCGCGGAAAGTGAATAAAACAACTCTCCCTTTAAAAATTCTGCGCCTTAAATAAGTTACATGTACGAACAAAAAAATATTCGTTCCCTTATCGTTTTCGAAAAGTGCAGAAGGTAGGCAAAAGAGGCGAAAGGTTGAAACGTAATATATCTCTATATATTATATATATAGTATGCTCGTTCGCATCAGTGTACCCATCGATTTATCCACCTTACGTACAATATGTATAATCGCATGCCGAGTTTTGACTCTTGTGCAGGAAACGGCTCGGAAGAAAGCTAGAAACAGCGAACGAGCGAGAGCCCCCGGACAAAAAGAGGAACTATGAGCGATCGCCGCCGTGCCCGGGGGGCATGGCATCTAAGCTGGGTAACCTTCTTTGAATGATAATCTCAAGATGCACTCGATTTGCCCCCACACCGCGCTGGCTTCGCACGGGCGGGCGCGCGCTCGGCAATTTTCGAAGTACCGCATATGCCGCCCGACAGCTACCGCTTTATTTTCTTCTGTTTTTTGTCTCCATTATTCATAACGTTTTTTTTTTTCTGTAGTTATTACGTTTCCGTAATTTAGCTCCGCTCTCGAACCTTTCTCGTTTTGGTTTCCTGCTTTTTGTATGTCACGTTTTGGGTTGTTCTAGTTTGAACTAATGTTTTTTTCTTCTCAATTTCGTTTCACTTTTTATTTCGTCGTGGGTTCTGAGCTCTCGTCGTTTCTGGTTTCATCAATCAGCCCCGGGGGAGTCCCTCCTCTTTCGTGCTCTTTGTAGCGTCGTAGCGGGCGCTGTGGCTCTGCAGCCGAGCGATACGGCTTCGCTGCCGATACCGGGAAGCGAAAGCTGCCGTGATGAATGAAGGAGGCCGCTACCTTTCGGCGCCGCATGGCGTGGTGTTATGCCGTAAGCGGGCGATTTAACGACAAAGAAAACCCCTAGAATTCACGTAAGAAGTCGATCTTTTCCCACAGCTCAAATTGGGCTTTGTAGCCTCTTTATGGGCGGATGTGGTGAGTATTGATTGCAGTGGCTCAAACCACAAGAAAAAGAAGTAAACAATCTTCGGGTAACAAATTGAGTACAATCCTTGGGGGACCACTGTTGCCAAGAAGAACTCACAGGTTTAAGCAGTAGGCACGCTTAAAACAGGCGCTGCTTAGTTATGACGTGTCGCTGATGGCAGCCTATAAATAATTAACGTACACTACGGACCTTATCGCTTCTATGATTAAAAACTTTCTTGGTGAGAAATAAAAAAAAGACAATCAATATTTTTACACGCCTTAGTAGAATCAACAAATTGTGTTTACTTATCTAAATTCAATGACTAGTAAAAATGTCAGTTTAAAATATCTAAGCGACTACATTGCGTTTTGAATGTGTTGTGTAGAATCTCACTCTGCAATTTAGTTACTCTTTAATTTTAGCTAAAATCCTTCCATCTATTTTATCGACGATTGCCACCCAGCTTTTGTCCAGAAACACAAATCGCGCTCACTCAAGATATATTATTCTAGACCGGCCTTTGGATTTTATATACATCTCTACAGGGTGTTGTTTTTTAATCTTTACAGATTTGTTTAAAAGAAGCAGTGAAAGCTACACTTATGTAGATTCTTCAGGTGAGTTATACAGCCAGGGGGATATAGTATATGGGGCTAATCATAACGATCTGTAAAGTTTGTTAACTAATTTTTTAATTAATGAAAATATACATATGGTTTCCATTTGAAACTTTCTGAGCGTTATCGAAAACCACTAAGTCAGTCATTTTCAGAATGACCTTCAGTGCGTGAAAAGTATAGTAGTGCACTAAAGTTACCATTCGTGGCGCGGGTACATAGATAAGAGACAAAAAAAAAATCGCGCGGGCGCCTTACTGCAAGCGCTGGCCTTGTACCTGCTCCACGATTGGTAACTTTAGTGAACTACTACGCTTCTCACGCGCTGAAAGACACTCTGAAAATGACTGACTTATCGGTCTTCGATAACGCTCAGCAAGTTTCAAATTGTAACCGTAAGTCTATTTTCATTAATTAAAAAGTTAGTTAACAAATTTTACTTAATTAGCTAACTGATAATTACTATTAGCCTCCTATTTTATGTACCCTGGCAGTACAACTCACCTGCACAAGCCGTATAGGTGTAGCTTTCAAAAGTTTTAAAAACAATCCTGTAAATCTTTAAAAAAAAACACCCTGGATATAAACAGAGTTTTGAAACAGGAAAGAGGACCTATTTGTTCGTGCGTACACTGTTAAGTAAACAAACCAGCTCGCTCTTTCAGTATTTTTGTAAGATCTGTTTTTTCTTTTATTTGTAAATGTTTGCAAAAATAAATCGTTTGTTCTTATAGTCCGGGCGTGTTGATTCCATAACACATTTAATGGTACCTTTCTTAGTCACATGCTATTCACAAGTTCTGTTTTGTTTCCCACACTTCCCGCTTATCTGCGACGAAACGATTTCTTCGCGAAATGTAGGTGAGATTCAGAAACAAGCATAAAAGTTTGGGCGTTAAAAAAAAATAAAGAAATTTATATATTCAAGTGGAACAACGTTCCTGTTAGACGGTAATTAGTCATTCACTGCGCAATTTAAATGAACGCACACACCATTTGTTTTCTCACGACTTGTGAGACGTGGCTCGGAAGCGTCACTTACCGTGAGATCGGCGACGAATTTGTGCTTGACCACAGCTTCCTCCGCTTTTTTCACCAGGCGCTGCGTTTAGGAGAGGCGCGAAAAAAATGAAATAAAAAATAAAGGTCATCTCGATTTTTCAAGACATGATCGTGTTGATACAACGCGCAACACAAGTCGAGGAACAGCGTTACGTGTTCAGTAGACACCGAGGATAATAAGCACGCATTTCTGTTTTTTCTTTCTGGTACGTATAATAATACTATACAATTAGAAACGTCTATATTTTTAAGCAGAACTTGACAATCTGTCTCATCTCAGAGAAGTCTGAGTTTTATTTGAACCCCAATACAAGTTCTTCAGAAGTGACCTCGAAGCCGCGCGGTTGCACTCGCTGTACATCGTACGAAAAACTATCCGCAGACATAGGTTCGAAGCAAACTGCTCCGAGCGTACTTGTGACCTGTCCGCAGATAGTTTTCCCGTCATGTCCGCCGCAAACATTGTGTCTATGATGTACGAGCAGTGAGTGTGAATGCGCGGCTCAAATGCGTCTGGCTTTCATCGCAACATTACCCGTAGGCGTTCTGTACAAAAAACTTTCGAAGCAGTTTTGAAATGAGATAATTTTCCCTGTACGGCAGAGAGTTAACGGACATACATCAGACAGGTCTTTTTTTTTAATGCCGACTAACCTTCCACTGTCAGAACACGCACGCACGCACACAGTATTGACTCCTGTATGCATTTAAGTGATGTGAAAACTTACGTTTCCTTTCTTATGGGGATTCATTTTCTTTCGGTGACGCCCATTTTTTTATTTACAATGTATTTATAAGATCTGTCTCCAGTAATAACTTAGAATGTAAAAATAATTAAATGGAAACTAACGATATATATATATATATATATAAAACAATGAAAATGAACTTTTACATAAAAAAATATTTGTATGAAAAAAAAATTTAGCGGGAACAATTAAAGGTATGCTTGTTCCAGGTTATGGGCTGTGTGGTGTCAAAAATTAAATCGAACTTTAGTTGCCCATTTGGGCTTGAATTCGCCTTTATTTGAGTCCTTTTTTGTGTGCTGGCGTACTTCAATTTTACCTCACGCGACTGTGTGCGTATGACTGTTATTCTTTTCTTGGTTTTGTTTTTGTACTCGCATGCCCCTGTAAAACACATCTAAAGGACTGAGAGTATCAATAAATGAATAAATAAATAAGTACAGTTACTTTTAATTTTCTTGGTTCCAAAACCGTTAATGTAATTCGATGGAGTCAGTTTTGAATATGTTATTTCTTTTCAGCACCATATCGAACTATCTATCATGAAGTGACCGTCTTATCGTGAATAACGCATCTAACAATCCCGATGCTATCAACTGATTTGCTCATATTGCTTTTAATGAAATGATTTGTATTCGTTTCATGCATCACTCAATGAAAATCCTGCGTCACAAAAATACAAATTTAAAGGTCGAGCAGTGCCGGGAGAGCCGCGGCTTACCTAGCAGTGTTGTACACGTTCCTCAAAAAAAGGAACGAAAGCTCGTTCCTCGTTCCTTCTGATTTTTGGAACGCGTTCCCGTTACAAGTTCCATATGTGAAAAAGGAACTCGTTCCCGTTACAGTTTAAAAAATGGAACGTATCGTTACAGATGCGTTACATTTGTATTTTTTGCTAATTACGATATTTAGTTAAATCAATCAGAGTTTTTTTTATCTATCCCATTAATAGTCAACATACGAGTTTGTATGTCGTGATGGAAGGGCACCAGGAGTAGAAAACACGCGGAAGTAGGGTTTCATTTGTTGATATATTCATGTTAAAAATCTCAGCTATTAACCATGTCCATGTTTGTAGTGGACAATTCAGACGAGCCAAATTTAATGTACTTTTACCCAAGATTGCACGAGCATTTTACAACAACCTCACACGCTTCAATTTAACAGAGTCCCGTGTTAGAACTTGACAAGAGTTGCTTCTCAATGTTGCTGTCCGCAAGACAAGCAAGTGAAGGAGAGGGTAAAGCTTTTGAAAAGTCAGTCTTGAAAGCTACAAATACTTCGTTGTGAAGGTTAAATTTGTTGTTCAATTTGAAGGTGGGGGACAAGGGAAGGAATAAAAGCTATTTTTTGTGTATCTTTTAAGTGAATAATGTTCGGGATACAAGGGTGAGTCCGATATCTGGCAATCTGTGATCTTGTTGTAATTGTAGGTCTCGTTATTGAAGTTCAAAAATGGCTGTAGTCGGAATACAATTTCTGGATGTATGAGGATTCGTGGAACCAAAGAAAGTAGCTGAGTTTGAAACATCCCTCTTTCTTTGTCTTTTCCTAAGACTATAAGTTTTGCTTTTTGTGCCGCAGTTTCGGGCACTCAAAAAAATATCAATGCCCACCAGCTCTCCTGCACACGAAACTGTTAGCAAGCGAGGACCACACAAAATAATCCATAAGATTAGTAGCCAAAAAGTTACCGAGATCCTGCACTTCGTAAATATATTGTTTTTGTACTTTCATACTTTCCCTGTTAGAAATAAAATAAAAATTACCCCATTGGACGAAAAAAAGGAACGCCGTTACTCTCTCCGTTCCAGTAAAAATGTAACGCGTTCCCGTTCCAGTTCCAGCGATGCAAAATGGAACGGTGGCGTTCCTTCGTTCCTCCTAAAAGGAACGCGTTCCAGGAACGCCGTTCCTGGGAACGCCGTTCCGTAGAACACTGTTACCTAGTTACCTAATTAATTAGCAATTTATATGCCGTGTATTTTAAATAACTCTAGATATCTTATAATTGGGTTTTTACATACGGTGCAGGATCCGTTCAAGAATAGAACTTGCGGACCTCGTTATAAATTAACTCTGCAGTTCTCGTGGGAAACGCCATGTTACTGTCTCTCGGTTTCACGAGAGAAATCAGTAAGCGCAAAGGTCCCACAGCTTTTGTGCATCGCGAAAATCTCTCGTTCGGTTCATGCGCAAATGCGACTCTGATTTATTTTCGTGCTTCTTTTATTCTTTACGAAAATCGCTACGTATGCTGCGTTAATCTAGTTGAGAGAACTAAATCGAGTCTATGCCCTCGTGCATAGCCGAGTGCTGAAGCGACTACATTAGGGACGATGAGAGCAGACGACGCGCTTGGCTATGGGAGAGTTTTACCACATGCTTTCGAGCCTATTTCCGTGGTTTTGTCTTTATACCGCCAGTCGCTATAAATAACTGATTCGCTCGAAGAGGCTGGAGAGCGAACCTGCCGCCACAGCTTTCTGTTCTAGCTGCTAGGTACCGTCGGTTTCGCCGGATTCACCAATACTCCGTTTGCCCCTAAGCTGACAATGCAGTGGAAGCTACGTGCTGGCTATTGGCCACGCCACTGGCCACGCGATCAGGCTCCTGCCCACACTCAAGAGTAGAGGGCGGGGTCAGGCGATGAAAGCGACGTGGCAACTGGGTCCGGCGAGCACGTAGCTTCAACCACTCTGTCAGCGTAAATGTGAACAGACTACATGGTCCCACTCAGTGCAAAGTGTTTCAGTAGGTTGGGTTCACCGGTCGCTTAGGAAATTGCTTTCGATGCTAAAGTTATACTTTGTTTCAGTTTAAATCCAGACGCGGCTAGCACTACGAGGAAATGGGATCAAGCAAGCAGCGTCGAAAGCGCAGGTCACTGGGCCTTTTTCTGTTTATGATTGGTCAGGAGATGATGAAACCAACTAAAGACGAAGTGCGTGAGAGCCTCTCGAGCCTGCTTCAAATGTTTTAACTTTTCTATCTAAATAGACACTTACTGGGGAAGTAGTACCGCAGAGGGCCTGTCGTAAAAATACCTAATCATAGCTTTTCTTTTTTTTTTTTTTGTCCTAGCAACTTTCGTGTGTTTTTTTTTTTTTTTTTTATATATAAAAAAAGGTGAAAGTCTGTATGGGGTAAAAGGGAGGAGGTTTGGGAAGAGGTTGATTTTGCTGGCTATCAAAGGGCTATACTCCTGTCGACTATTAGCCGTACGGTTTTGCGTTAGCTATTTGGCATATTTAAGCCACAAATAAACATCGATGAGAGTGAGTCATCGTCTCGTTCTGAATGGCTTTGTGGGTTCGCTTTAAAGGTATCGCTTCCCCCAAAATAAAATATAACGGCCTCCCTAATATCTCTGTTGAGGCGCCGACATTAAGATGTGGGACTATAAAGAAGCCCATTACCATTCCCCTGCCACTTCTTCCCAGGACAGATTTTGCATACTGAGCCCCTGAAGTTAAATATTTTGATTTTAAGGCCACTTCTGCAAGGTGGCAAGAAAATACATTCTGAGGTTAAAAAACAACCTCTTGAACCCAAACGTATTCTTAGAGCTCCGTCGATGCTTAATAAAATAATTACAGCATCAGAATATTGTTGGGCTATGGACAATAAGCAAAAAATATAAACACGAGCTTGGAGTCGTCATAAGCACAGCGTAATTTTATCATTAATTTTATAACATTCGTCCACAAAAATAATCAGTTCAGTGACATTCCATGTCATGTTCAATTATACTGTCGATTCTTGAAATTATTTGAACCTTCACCGCATTGACATTGACTACAAAATGTTTTACAACACTTTGAATTGCGCGTTCTGATTTGGCACTAACCCCGCAATGGCCAGTGTTTATTTTTTATTTATTTATTTTAATATATTCATGTTTGTTATCATCGCAATTCTGTAGCCATTCTACTGAAAAACAACTGAATCCTGCTGATGCAAACACCGAAGAGTCTAGTAGTTTCTAAATGCAAACTTTGAGCTATGAGACAGAAACAAGCCATTATCTCTGCTATCAGCTGCGCTGGAAAACTGTTAAACTACGACATTTCGTTTCACCTTGAATATTTCTCTCACACTTTGCTTTGTTAAAGAAAAAAATAAACAACACTTTGTTTCCCATTGAATGTTTCCTCGTCCACAACCCAAGCAAAACGTCTTTTCATACTTGGCGTGCCGGTACAATGACCCATAGATTCCATAGCGCGTAAATCGGATGCACTCACCTTGAGAGCGTTTTTCTTTCGCTGCAAGTTCTTCTCCATTTCTAAGGTCATCTTGAGCAGCAACTCCGTGCCGTTCACTTCCACCAGACTCAGACTCTCTGCATTCTCGTAACTCTGAACGGAAATAAAATCGAGACACTTTCGCTTAAAAAGAGACCTCGTTGAAGGTGTCTGCAACTTGGCCGAGGCTTTTTGAAGAGGAGGTGCCATGTTACTGAGATTTTAGTTACACGTCGATAGAACCCCGGGTGGGCGAAATTAATCCTCAGTCCCCCGCTGCCCAGAGCGTGTCGGATTCCCTTTTTCGTATTGGCGCGTAAAACCCCCAAATTCAAGTTTTAGACTTCATTCAGGCATACAGAGAACTTGTTCAGGGTTAGATGCCCACTCACTCTGACTCAAAGTAGTAGCGTTTGACTACGTTTGATTACGTCGAGATTCGACAAAGAAGAACTGTGGTAGCACGATTTTATTGCAAACAATGGTATTCGAACTAAAAGAATTTTCTTGAGAAAGTGCGTTTTACTCTTTTCTAGACTTTAGCTTAGTTTACGAAGTTCATCTTACAGTTTCCAAAAAGAACTTAATATTATTTTTAGGCAGAAATAACAAACGTAGTCGTATTTTACAAGAAAATAACGAGCGATTCGGGTGCAAATTTCAACGTCTATTGAAGAATAGTAGTAAAGTGGTTAGTTGAACATGGTTAAAATTGCGCACAAATAGAAAGGTACAGAGAAGAGGGAAGAGAGAAGAGACAAGCGCAAACTCACAACTCGATGTATTAAAGGAAGAAAAAAGAACAGCCCTCGGTATCAGCTCGAGCCGAGGCCACACTCGCACGGGGGCACCCGAGCACGCGGAGGGCACACACCGTCAACCACACTCGAACGACTGTAGAAAGGCTATTTCCTTGTCGGTTAAAGCCACAGAAGGGTGGCTGACACAACGCTCGCCTAAGCGGAGTATACTAAAGGCTTCAAAAATTTCGCGAGTGTGTTTTTCGGTGAATCTGCCAATTATCGAGGTCTTTTGTAAAGAAGGTGTACACTTACACGCTTGACAATGCAGAGGTAGGTGACCCCCCCCTGTTGAATTTAGAGAAAGATTGTGCTCCCTTAACCGGTCATTAATATACCGTCCCGTCTGTCCTACGTAGGATCTGCCACAGGAAAGGGGAATGCTATAAACCACACTGGTTGAACAGGGCACGTAAGGGCGGGCGTGTTTTGTGCGGCACCTGTGTTTTGTAATATTTTCTATTTTTACTCGAACTTTAGAACAAATTTGACCCATTTTTTGGGGTGCTGACATCACCAAGGGGACTCCGTAGCTATTGGCTACCTGTTTGAGATTGTGAGATATTCTGTGTATATACGGAACCACCACCACTCTTTTTCTGTCGATATCACGTGCAGCTTTTTCGCATCCTTTTACTTTTTTTATAAGAGTTCCTACCACTTCGGTCAGCACCTGCGCTGGAAAGCCAGACGCTGTAAGCCTCTCAATTTGAGCATTAAAACTGCTTTTGATGGTGTGGAGGCATGACTTCTTTATGGCTGAAGTAAGGCAGGAAAGAGCTATGCCTCTCTTTACGACTTTTGAGTGCGAGGACGTATAGTGCAGTAAACCTTTTTTAAAACGGGGTGAAAATGACCAGCACAGGTGGTTTGTTTGCAAAGATAGAGAAAGGTCTAGAAATTGCAACACACCTTCCTTAGGAGTTCCACAGGTAAAAATAAGTCCTGAACCGCACTTGTGGAATATGTCCATGATGCTACTAATTACATTATTGTCCAATGTCTTTTGGTACACCAGCAGAAAATCGTCTACATACCTAAACACGTGAAGAACTGGCATAGACGCTATGGACGTCTTAATGGCGCGGTCGACCCCCGCAAGAAAAATATCACTTAGGACCGGTGCAACGCAAGAGCCTATACAGACTCCCGACTTTTGCAAAAATACCCCGTTTTGCCACCCAATGAATGTCGAATTAAGATATTGATTGAAGTCTATTGAAGAGACGAGAAAGAATCGAAGAATGAAAATGAGCGAAACGTGAATACTTACATTTCGAAGCGTCTCGATGCCCGATATCGAAGATAACCTCGTCACCAGGGTCGTATCCAATTCGTTCGCCCATCGATAGACCCTGTTGAAACAATGCAGAAAAAACAAAAAAACAATATATCATCAGTACTTTTGGCATAGGCTCGCGACATAAGTACGGGTAGCGGCCATAAGAACTAACATATTTGGCGTGCCTTGCAAATATAGAATTCCAAATTTGTGTTTAAAAAAATAAAAGAAGTTTTATGTCTGTTTTTATTTAGCTCAAGTCAGAGGTTGTAAAATATTAAAAATAGAGCAAAGATAACGGCTGTGCATTTTCTGAGCCCTCTACCGCATCTTCGTCGTTCTCCACACTGGTTTGTGATCGCAGCGGGTGGTAATTGTTCAAATATATTTTTGAAAATCATAATTATCGCGATTATCTCGCTCGTGGCGATCCTCGACTATTGTTTTTCTTAGTTTTTTAAAACTTTTTTGCGTTTAGTAGGCCTTCGGGGAGCGAGCTCATAAACTTCTGTGCAGACGACCAAACCGGTTGGTATATCGAACATAGAAAATACACGACCTTCGAGTTTGCTTTACTTTTAATTATTTCACTGCCTGAAAATTGAGGTCTAAAAAAATAGACATAAAACTTGTGGCTAAACGTATACGCTTGCTTGCCGAATTTCAAGTATGTTAGTTTGGAATTTGAATTTCGCTAGGCGTCTTGAATGTGCTAGTCCTTACTGCCACACCCTGTGAAACAAAATGGCTGAACCAAATATTTTCACCCCAATAGTGCACGACGCCACCTTTCGTACAAAAAAGCGCTATTCGCACACACACACAAAAAAAAAAAGCACTGTCGTCAGCGTTTTCAGAAACATAGGGTTGGTTCTATAGAGTCCCGAACATTCTAATACCGCTCCACAGCCGGTGAGATTCAGGCTTATTTGACATGAACGCCGAAGAGGTCACCATGAAGCACAAAGCGTAAACATAAGCCACACCTTGCAGTTTCAAATTTTCAGTGACTATAGTAAAAGAAACCGCCCATCAAACAAACAGGCAGCTATTCGTCACAATTCGAGAGGAGGGTAAAGGGTGAAAGAGGTTCCAGGCCTTCTGAATTTTAAGTGATATCATATTTACGACTTTTGACTAATCAACGACTGGGGTTTACAGACGCGCCCCTGGCTAAACTCTGGATTTGCGTAGGAAATGTAGGGACAGACAAAGCGAACTAGGAAACGCTCACAGGGACGAATACGATTGACGGAAAGGAATCACGTGATGTAAACAAACTCTCCGCCAAAGTACTCGGCGCTGGTGGCGGTCTTTAGTTTTGTTTCTTCGGTGAGTAAAGAATGAAAAGTCTCCAAATTCAATCATTCTTACGCTGACCTTTCAAAAAGAGGAGTCAAAGCTTAAAGTTAACACGAAATATCTTTACCTATGTAATTGTGTGTTTAATATCGGATGATAGCAGAATATGTGTAGGATGGCAGTAGTTTTTGTGCTCACGATTCGAGTTAAAGAAGCCATTGGGGGGCCCCGAATTTCACCGAACGCGAAAAGGACGCTCTACTTGCAACATCGCTGAAGAGTGACGAAACAATATTGGGAATCAATAGGCAGGTAAGGTGACCACGAAAATCAAGAATCACGCCTGAGACCAATGAAGTTCAAAACAGTGACGAGTTGGCCACGACAGCTGCGAAAGTGCTTGGAAAACGTCGATAGGAAGACGTCGAGAAATTGGTTCGCGAGGAAAGAATATGGTCCTTGCGTCGACCGCACTCTTTGGTCTCAGAAAGGTGACGAAACTGCTCTGACCTGTACCACCGTTGAGCATCTGCTGCAGCCCCAAACGGACTTGAGTTTCATACTGGGCTGTACGAAGGTATATCTGCGGAGCCTCAGCCATTTTGATTCGATGTGCCCCTCCGGAGGCACAAATGTCGGCTTTCTATATGCCCCCGTGCGCCAATATTCTAAAAACGGAAGCCATGGTGAGATGAGCAGTTTGAACAGCCTTGGGTCTGCCAAACCGAGAACTCAAACCCAAGTCGTTTGGCTAGTGTATAATCGAAAGAATACACAAAAATTGCAGTTTTACCTGTAACGTCTTTAAAATCTTCACTGAATTTATTGCAAATTATCATCATGAACAAAAATAATCCCTCTCCATTTGTGCGTTTTATCCTAATAACTATAACAACTAGAGTGAGAGGTGGAAGCTAGGTTGTTGGGATTCAGGAAGTAAGTTAAAATATCCACATTGGGGAAAATTTTGAGCTTTCGTAGTTTTAAGGCGAATTCGGACACACTGGAGCCTGTTGTCTCGGTCAGTGAAGCTTTTGTGATATAAACTCGCAAATATCCGCATAGGTGATGTCAAAAGGTGGCTTAACTATACGGAAGAAAGTACTTGTTGCTGTTCCCCCTTATGCCTTTGTACATAAAGTGTCTGCCTTTATGCAAAGCACCCTGTTATTTTAAGAGCGCAGCTCTTAGGCGCCCGTTTGCGGGTTGAGCGGCGCCGCCGTCGGCGTATCCACGCTCGTTGCATTATGGGACGTCACAGTTTCCCTGCTAAATTTAGCGGGGAAACTGAATTGGTGTTGAGGTCTCGCGAGGTCAATTTCCCGACTAAATTTAGCGGGGAACTTAACTCGTTAAATTTAACGGGAAAATCTTCGCTAAATTTAGCGGGAAATTTAGCACAAATTTCCCGCTAAATGAGAGCGAAGGTGGAGGGGAGGAGGGGAGCCTAAGGAGGAGGAGGAGCGGCATACCCTTCCGTCCGTACCCTCCCCTCCTCCTTAAGAGCTGCGCTCTAATATCGCATTCAGAAAGTTTCAAACCTCTTTAATGTTTTTGTCTTCATATTTGTCTTCCTAAATGTTTGCCTTTATAAGTTAATTACCAACTATCTCAAGTTACCATTTCATAAAAGCACATTTGTTAAACTAGAAATATGTGCCTCGAATATGTAAATAATCAAGGAGAATGTTTTTTTTTCATAATATAGTTTATAAAAGTTACAAATGCATATATCAACATTTAAGATTCTAAGCTTCCCTTGGTTGTTTGTCCTATTGCACACCCTTGAGGTGAGTTTTTTGAGCTAAACAATTGGAATACTTGTTATCAGGCTATTTTATTGATAATACTGAAGGTCTGACAGTCATAGTCACTCGAGACACTAAAATATAAACTAACAACGCCCCTGCAAAACTTTTTTCAACACGGTCTTTTGGGTCAGATATTGTTGAATAGCTTCATTATTTATTTTTACACGGCCCTGGTTAGCTGTGTTTCTCAGCTTTGTTCGCTTGATTTCTACCATGAGCAGCCAGCCTCGCAAAAAATGCAGCTCATACAAATTCAGTATAGTCCCATTAAAAAAAAGGGCAATTCAGGCTAAGCCATTGAAAGCCGAGCCAAGCCCACATTCATAAAAATAATTGCATACGTCTGTTTGCAGCTGCACCAAATATCATGAACATTTAATCACAGTGAGATATCACTTAGTGGAACTTGAATGTGACTATCGTTAGTGCTGCATTTAGAATAAGAATGGCAGTGACCTTATGTCTGTCTTTTCAGTAAATTTAACACGATTTAGTTCCTTAGACATCTATCTGTTTGGAACCTGGCAGGATTACAACATTTTTATGTATAAATAATTTTTAATAATTTTTACGACCACGGTTTTTATTTCAAAGATCAATCTACAATCTGAAGACGACGACCATACAGTGGTAGCACTCAGCACTTTAAAGCCGTCTGGAGGCAAGTTGGGTCACCAAATAGAAAACTTCGTTGTAATAGAACCGTCCAAGACCAATGCTTGACTACAATCTGGGGACGATGACGGTACCGTAATAGTCCTCAGCATTTCCGTGCTGTGCGGAGGTCTCCCAATGCCCTGAAGAAGTGTCTCAGCACATTTCAAAACAGGGCTAAGAGAACGGTTCAAGAATGTGCAGCCTCTCCAGGCGCTTAACAGACCTGCACCAAGCTTTTCTCTCACTGTGGCAGTTGCAGCTATGCATGGAGAGGTTACAAATTCCGAAAAGCACTGGCCTAAAAATAAAACCTGGCTCACGGAAAGAAAACACACTTCAGAAATGGCAAAGCACAACCTATCATCCTTGCTCTCTGGTGGGAGCAAGAAATATGTCAAGTATACACTGAAGAGAAAAAGAATAGGAAAACTTAAATAAATGGGTGATTAGAAATTTTTCACACTAGTTGTAATTTTATTTTGATCGCAACTTTTTCATACCCAAGCCTTTCATGTATTATTGCAAATGGAAAGCCTTGGCTGATTTGCAAATGATTTGTCACATCATCCACTGTCACTTATCTATCCGACAAAATGAGTTCACAGGCACGCTCAATGTCATCATCAATCGTCGACACGGATGGGTATTGGCTCCTTTATAATTAGCACTTGTGCTTCCTTCATAAAGCTTTTGGATCCAATCCAAATAAATTTTTTGCGTCAAAACATTTCCATGATACCGTGGACAAAGATTTGTTTTTATAGATATCGGCACCAGACACCCCTTCTGATAAAAAAAACAATGACTCCTACACTTGTACAAATTACACATGGGGCAGCTATTCGTTCTTGCACCTCAGTCACAACTGAACTGACTCAACACATTCTAGCTTGCACATCAGTGACCGGAGGGGCAGCAACCTTGTACGAAAAGTTCCGATAAGACAGTGCGGCAAACAGAAGGGGTAATATAACCGAAATGTGAATGAGTACTTAATTAACCTCGTGCGACATGGATCCTTCGCAGGGTTTGCATTCTGGCTCGAACAACACTTATTTCTTATTTTCTTTACTTCATCAGTCAATTTTAGTTACTTTATACACATGGCATTTACACCACGGAACTCTGTGTGGTCACGCTGTCCAGTAAATGTGTGATATATATCTTTGCATAGGTTAAAACTTAACTACTTTGACTTTAATATGATCATCAAAGTAAAAATCAAACGGGTTGTTTAATCTTCAGAGAGTGTTGAGTCAGTCAGCTATGAAATCAGACGGTATTAGACGTAAAGTTATTGCATATTGGGATAGTTCCACCTTTTCGTGGGAGTCGTGTACTTCATTGCTCTTGTTCTATTATGTTATTCATATGTTTATGCCTGGATGTCGAGGGTTTCTTTTT